TGATTAAAGTTTAAAGAATTAAATGGTTCATGCTGAAGGATTCCTCTGAAGTCATTCTCCCACTTTGCAGGTAAGAAAAATAACGTTCAAGGATGGGAGGAAATTTCCCCCACAGTCCTCCAACATCAGAGCAGATCTTCTGATTTCTGAGTAACAGCTTTCCCTACTCCTTGATTTTTCTGTCTCAGGCTGAGTCCTCAAGATAGAGTGAGATGGGAACCTCCACACTGTACCCTTCCTCAGCCAGATGTTAACAGCTGTAGAGTTCGCACACCGTGTTATTCTTGTTCTGTACTAGCCAGTGGCCAGGGAGCCCAAGCCTCACAAAGGTGAGTATGAAGAAAGAGTAATAATTCCATAGTTCAGAAAAACGCCTTGGGGCAGAATGTCCACCTTTGGGAGTGTTTTTGTTTCCAGAGTCCATGAAAGAAGAAATTGTCACACAGCAAAACCAGTCTCTTAGAACAGGACACATAGGTAGCCAGAGATGGCAAAGAAAGGCAGTAGGCTGGCTGGTATCAATGTCTTCCTCATCATTGGCATCTTAGAGCATATCCCTATCAAAGGGTCCATCTGCCAAGGTCTTCCCCTGAACCACGTCACCTGACCATGAGTGTCATTGGCACTTCCATCAGAAACTGAAATCCCCATTGCGCCTTCAAAGTGCATAACCAATTAGTAAAACCCCAGGGACTGCTTGGTGCCTACAATTCAAATAACTTCAGAGGTTCTTTGTTTCTTTTCTTAAAATCTGGAAATCTCTTGGAATAGAGAAAATCACTGGACATAGAAACTCCCTTCAACAAACAACCCCAGATTTCTTTCCAAATTTTTGCCAGAATGCTATTTCTAACTTCACAACACACAGGAAAAGGCCAGGTTGAAGATACTTAATCAATGTTTTCTGATGGTGGGGAAATAATCATTAACTATTATTACCATAAGTAAAAATTTGTATTAATAGCGTCTTGCATATTAGCCATTTATTGAATAAATATTTATTGATGTCTCCTATGTACCTAGCATCCTGCTATGCCAGGGGGAACAACAATGAAATCAGATACAGCTTTACTTTCATGGTTTTAATTCATCTAATTTCATATATTCCTAATACACATTTTCATATATTCCTTCAATCTCATGTATTCATAATTCTGTGGTAGAAAGAAAAAAACCTGTAAACTGGCACGTTTTAAAAATTGCTAGTTATTATAAATGTAATAAGAACCAAGATGGAGATTAACAGAAGGAAATTTGGGACATTTTTAATCATCAGACCATAGCAAAAAGTACACGTGTTATGCTATCATTTTTATAAGATCATGTTTTATTTCTTTGTTTTGTTGTTGGTATCAGTTCTGTGTAATGTACCAAAGGGAGATACTGAATTTGGATTGAAGAACCCAGTACCATTTGGTCTTCTAATCTGATAGGTTGCTGACAGCTTGTAATCATCTGTTTAATTAAATTTCCTGGTTCAGGAATCAGAAGTTATCAGAGCAGATTAAGATGATGCTAACAGGAAAGCTGTTCACTAATTGTTTTTACTGAACACAAGCCATATGACAGAGACAAGGCGTGCTGCTGGCAATGAGAAGAAGACACCAAAGCGCTCACTGGGGTTGAGGGAGTGATAACCATTCTGGGCTCCACATTTTAAGGGCTGTTGACAAACAGGAGCCTGCCCAAATGGCTGCCTTTAGCCAGCTGGATTCACTGACGTGTTCCATTCATTCTGCTTAGAATGGGTTATAAATCTCTACTCTGGGAAACAGTGCAGGCCAGGACATGGTTGGATGCTTAGAGGCAAAGTCTAGGGTGCACATCACTTGTGTTCCATCATCTCATCATCTCCAATGCAGAATGGCTTGCAAATCTGTGATTATCTAGAATCCCCCTGGCTGCAGGAGCCACAAGCTCAGAGGGCTACTAGGTTAGGCAGGCAACTTCAATGTCAAGGGTCGGTTTGCTAAGGGATTGGGGCGAAACTAGAGACTGAAAGCCTCTCCGTGCCTCCTAGAACAAGCCAAACATATTAATACATGCACAAGAAGGTAGAGGGTGGAGGCTCAAACACTGCCCACTTCCCTGTGTTCATGTTCTTGTTCCTCAGTCATGGCTCTATGGTCAGACCACCAGATATGAGGCCTTGGCCAGATGAACTATTTCTCTTTTCAAAGTTATTTTTAGAAAAAAAATTCAACTGGGTAGACATGAGTGGCCTCCAAAAGATTTTATTTCCTTTCTGAGTCAGGTTCAGCCTCACTGGGCTTGGCTTTCAATTTCTGTTGCCTTGCTGCTCCCTGGGCATTCAGAGGTCCTCCGGTGATGCCCCTCCGTTTCAAGAGCCCCCCAAATGAAGCTGAATGACTACAGATAAGTTTTTGGTACTTTCCAAAATTAAACTATTTCCCTTGGTAAATTTCCAGCAAATGAGCTCATTAATCTGAAAACAGGATGTGGCACATGAAGAGAGTGAGGTCAGACTGCCTGCTCTTTTCACTTACACTGGCTTAGGGCAGAGAGGAAGGGGTGGGTGGGACAGAGGAGAATGGCTTTTATAGGCCCCAAATCCTTGAGAAACTTTTCTTCAAAAGGCCCTTGTGCAGTGTGCCCACCTTTGGAAGAGTCTTTGTTTC